CATCAATGAAACCACTATATCTTCTACATAATCATGCAAAGTAACAAGCAATTCATTATCATGTCACAGTCTTTTTCAGAGGATATGTAACAAAAGTTTTACCTGTCTCCAATAGAGATCACTTTTTGGCTTTTGTGCAACTGTTTTTTTAATCCAGTTCAAATTCTCTGAGACATATTGGTAGAGCTTTTTACAGTAAGCTCGATATCCTTTGCACATATCCTCTATTGTATTACGGAAATGGTAATAAATCAACTCTCTCGATAGGATTCCTGAAACCATTAAATTAAATAACTTTTGAAGTGAATGCGGACTGCTCGATTGTTTCTGTTTTCAAAGCACTTCGCAATAAGCGTTTCAGTCTTTTCTCAAATGGCTGTTGGAGACGAGTCTTTGTTTCATTAGAAATGAAAATGTGATACAAAAAAGGAAACTGACCCTCAGCAACACCAGCCGCATACGCTTGTACTTCAGCAGAATAGTTCTTGAATGTCTCCACTTCGAATACACCCCATCTAAAATTCATCTCCCAAACATACACATTTCGAATAAGGTCTTTCACTTGTTTTTTATCAAAAATTCCTCAACAGTGCTTTTACAGAGCTACAAAAAGCAATACGATTCGTGGCTGTGTTGCTCAAAGAATATTAACCATTGATCTAGTGCAGATCAATGGCAACGTCATTTGAGGCAAAATACGAGGCGAATTTTCTTATTTGCTAAATAGTTTTCGAAGTAGATCTGTATCAATATTGTTAGTTTCTGAGCACGGACATGATTTCTCTGTGAAGGTTAGCTGAAACAGATTTCAAAGTCTTTCATGAACATCCGCTCATCACATCTGCTTATAAGCAAAGGAAATTGAGTGCAAATTCACTCAGGTGTCATTGAAATGACTGCTGCACTTCAAATCATTAAAAAGCGTCAAACCACAAGCAATATTCACCCGGTCTCATTCACTGCATTTCTGAACCTTGCAAGTGCCACCTGATTATCCTTATCACATTCACGTTGATATAGTGCGTAGACATTGATACCTGTGTCATTTTGACACATACTCAAGTACGTGTAGTATTCATTCTGTAAATTAAAATCGTTCAAATCGAAATTATTTGCTTGGAGAACATTTCGAGGGATCAGATCAACTGTCACCAGCTAAACACTTTTAGAGGACTTCATGTTCAAGTCATTGGTATGTCGAGGCTTGATTCCCTTATGGTTTATTGAATATACGTGATTCTCGGATGAAACACAGTCTCAGTATCCAGAGCAGCATACATAAGATTCACCAAAGACTCTTCGGGCAAGAACCATTGGTCTAGTTGTCTTAAAAAAGACCAGAATAATACTGGAATTTGAACCACTGTACTGTGATCTTCTCCAACTACTTGATCTGAACTAGAGCTATAGCTTTTTAATATGCACTATGAGGTTTCACAAGTAATATGTTCATGTTATCAGTTTCAGAAGAAGAAACATGTTAGTTCGATTCATTATTACAGACTGTTGTCAATGACCGTATGAAAATCGCTAAGTACAATATACTAAACGACCCAATTTNTACTTGATCTGAACTAGAGCTATAGCTTTCTAATATGCACTATGAGGTTTCACAAGTACTGTGTTCATGTTATCAGTTTCAGAAGAAGAAACATGATGGTTCGATTCATTATTACAGACTGTTGTCAATGACCGTATGAAAATCGCTTAGTACAATATTCTAAACTACCCAATTTGTTATCATAAGAAGTGATAGTTTCTAATGGGTACACATTCAAACACCTGCTGATGTAAGCGTCAGAATTCATTCTTTCCAATGTTTCATTTCAAAATGTTGGAATGAATGAATAATTAAATTTTTCAAAAAAGTTCACCTCATCCGAATAGTCCTCATCATCGTACTCATAATAGTGTTCGATTGTATCGAACGCGAGAACGGAAATGTTCCATAAAAATAGCGATAAAATGAAGACAAACGCAGAGTGCTGCCGAGAGAATGCCATTCGAATATTATTCAGAACGAACAACTGACACCACTAGCACTCATAAAACACGACCTTATCAATCCGAGTTCATGTTATCTCTCTTCGTTATCTTATCATCGTCAACAATAATTTTACTCGATCAGCATATGATGTCCGTTGAGCAGTTTCAATTCAAACCATACTTTTTACCTTCCAACCATTATAATGTGATGTTAATACGTTGCCAACATGTGTACTTAGTCAGTCCTTATTTTATGATTAACAATGTGAACAACGCCTCAAGAGTACGTTCATAACGTGAACAACGCCTGAAGAGTACATCATGTCTCTAATGCATCATGCGATTATCGTCTACATGATGAAAACAAACAAAACGATGGTTTCTCCTTTAGCATCTCCTTGAACAGAGAGACCCGAAAGGTCGCTTATGAAAATTAATACCTTTAAAATAGCAAAGATGACAAATCAATGTTCGTGTTATCAATTCCTAAACCATTTCTCGGTCAATCTCTCTGTGTTACTTTAACGATGACTGCAATCTCGACAGTTGATCCTTACCGCCACCTTAACAGCAATCTTTGGAGGCGCCATTCAATTGAATCAACTAAGCATGAAGCCCAAAACCTTGTCATTCACAAGCTATGCACACATTTTGATCTGGCTGTCGTTTAAAATGACCATTTTTATTACAGTTCTGCATGTAAACAATTTCATAAACTCTTTATAAAATCAGATTAATGAAGCAACAGCAATAGATACAAAGCGATAACTATCAAAAGCATTAATATAATACTTCATTTAGTTAATTACATTAAAACCATTCATTAATCGGCTCTCTACGTCAACAAGCCTTGCTACTATAAATTGCAACAAGTAATAAATTTCAAACAGACGATTTCAGTTCGTGAAAACAGGTTGATTCATCCGGAACTATCATCGAAACATTCAACAATTCTTCCAAAAAATTATCATAAATAAGGTGCTGTATTATTTTGAAAGTTGTTTCTCATCACAGCATCGCAATCGTTACCACTAATATCGGCCGATATTGCCCCATTTCATATTATTTCATATTATATTTCATATTATTTCATATTATATACAAACAACAATGCAAATGGAATTCAAAAGAATATCTTCTTTGGTTTTCGATTATAAGTGGATGCTCCACAGAAGCATGACCTTAGGGTGGGTCCTTCTGTTGTTCCACGACAATAGCATGCGACCATTTTGCGGTAGTCATCTTTCCAGCACAAATCTCGACATGTCTTCTCTAGGCATCGATCGAGACTTCCGAATGAACTGAAACATGAACGTGCTATGGGCAAACAGTGCTAGCTTTCGTTTACGTCCTCCAATAACAACAATCTCCAGGCAATTTTTCACTCAGTTCAAAATTGTTTCAATGTTAGGTGAATGCCGCTAAATCATCTCCCAAAATACCCACTAGTTTGTTTCAGAAATTTTTCAGTTTTTACCAATTTTTCGAACTGTAGCCGATCAATCGATCAGGAACGTACCGTTCCGCTGAAGGTTGCTAACTGCCCGTTAGCATATCTTGAGTATTTCCTATTCCCTGCTTATGAGCCCTACTTTTGCTGAATGGGTTCTAATGAGATCACA